TGGGAGCATGTATTTGTCCAAGTTCTGTTTGGTCAGGCTTTTGCGAAAGTGTCGCAAATACCGGCTTTTTCGTTGTGTCTGGTGCTTGATTTTTGGGTTCATTTTTGAAATTTTTTTGTATGGAAAGGACCAAAAACGCAAGTTTTTTGTATGGTTGGCGTTTCAACAGCACGGTATCAACCAGGGCAACAGCGAGCAACTGGCGGCGTTTCAGTCGGGCAGCAATATTGTCATTTGCATCGTCATCAATGCTATCAGCTTAGGCATCGTCATCGGCAAACAAGCAACACAGGCAACAGCACATGAATAGCACCAACATCAGAATCAGCGTCAGTTGTACAGTGAGCACCGTAGCAACATTGTCCCTGGACTTCCAAAGCGTGGCTGGCTGGGGTTGAGGGCTTAAGGTACAGACTGGAGGGTGAAGCATTCAATGACTTCAGACCTTCAGGCCGAGGCAAGCACAGAAACACAACACAACAACCCGCATTAGCATGGACGTCATCATCCCCCCCCATCCCCCCCTATCCCACCAAGGCAGAACAACAGAAACACGACAGAACAATCCGCATTCGCATGGACGTCATCACCCCCCCATCCCCCCAGAACAACAGAAACACGACAGAACAATCCGCATTCGCATGGACGTCATCATCCCCCCCTCCGAGTCTCGGCACAATGCAGACCGGAAATTGGGAAAATACCGGAAAAAACCATGCGAAATGCGCAACGTAAACGACAACATCGCAAAAAACGGTGCAAAAGGGATGACTCATAAATTTGTTGCACAGTGCATCTCGGAATTGTCGTTTATTTTTTTTTTGCGAACACACCGTAAAAACCGAGGCGAAAGAAAAACGCAAAGTTTTCACAACCACAACCACAAACACAACAACAACCACAACCACAACCTCAACCACGACCACAACCACAACCACAACAACAACTACCACTACCACTGCCACTACCACTACTACTACTACTACTACTACTACTACTACTACTGCTATACTACTGCTACGACGACTACTAC